CACTTTCGCTGCAAAGAACTCCGACTACGGCAACCACAAGTATCCGACTCCAGACTGTCGAGTACCTGAATACAGCCAAGCGAGCCAGGCCCTGAGTCGTCGATTGGGAGCGAAGCTGAGACATCGAATCGGACGCCAGTTCAGGACAGGAGGAAGACTCGCACCAATCAAATGCGATGAAGGCGCATGGGTGTCATGGGAAGACCTGTTAGGTGATAATGCAGTTTGGGAAGACGGTTATCACTATGGCAACATAGATATCGTGACCAAGAAGGCGCGTTTGGAGAAGTACTTCGACCAGAACTATGAGTGTTTCCGCATAACCAAGAGGGTCAGATTCCAAATGTTGGCGGTCCGCGTTCACCCTGATGAACTCAATGAGCCTGATGACCCGATGGAGAAGGAATGGATTAACGAACTCAAGGACATGGGAATCTCTAAAGGAAGACTCCACCATAGCGATGGATGGTGCTTTCCCGTGGCCGTAAGAGCAACCTCGGCACACTCAACGGACGGCGGAGGTTATGACGTTACCATTAACATCGACCACATTGGATCGAGAATGACCAACGACATGGCCCTATCTATGGTGACTGCATTTCACGCTACCAATCTCGGAGCGCTGACTTCAATCATGCGACGAGGGCTAGTGCCGGGAGGTCTCGGTTCATCGGGAAGGGATTCTATCCACTTCACATGTTTTCCGCCATGGGCCTGGGAGCAGGGCTACAAGGGAAAACCTTGGCTGGGTCGTAAGGTCGCATTGAGTGATCGCCCAGTGGTTCTCTACATTCCGGTGTGGAAGCTACAGGAGTACGGGCTTCTCATCTCAGCGACTGGATCTCTATTGGTTGAGAACGTCGTTCCCTTCGATGAGGTTAAAGGGGCATGGTTGCAATGCGACAATGCGGAACCCGGACAGCCTGAGGAGATCGAATGGATCCGGTTACTCAATGGGGAACCCGACCCTGGAAGCTACCTTGTTCTGGAGTCCAAATACGGAAACCCGATCATGATTCCACGCTTTCAAAAGCTTGAGAGTTTAGCGGTTGAGGTTCAGGACGATACCTACTCCGAGGACGACGCCAAAATCTCAAAACTGTTGGGTATGATCGAGGAGAGTGGTGTTTACCCAGAATATGATAGCACCGAGTGGCAGGAAATCTTTGAGGAGATCGTGTACCGGCGAGCAATGAAAGACTATGACTCAAGACCGTGTCCTAACTGTCTTGGCGAAGTCGATGTGCGATTGACGATATGTCCGCACTGCGTAGCGGTTTTGATCGCGAATGGGAAGCTCACGCATGTGGTACCCAAGGAGACAAGGGGCCGCAATCAACGGTCACCTCCGAAAGATGTCCCAGCCAGTTCTTCCGGTGAAACAACTTCTGCTGCAGGTGCAAACATCGATGAAGTCATCAAGAACGCACGCAAGACAGCCGAAGAGGTCATTGAGATCGAGGAATCCGAAGGAGAGGAAGAGGAGGAAGTTCCTATCATTTTGAAGGAACGACCGGACGAAGCTGAAGGCGAACCCGAGTATCGGGAGGTCCCTCAAGATGGATACGGGAATGAACTTCCGCAGCCTTTCCCCTTCGCAATTGACGAATTGCCGCAAGAAGCTGCGATCCCCATCGACCACAACTTTGCCGTCACACAGCAATTTGATCTGAGGTTGATGAAGTTGACCAAGAGCTTGGCCAACGCAACGTTCGACATCAACTGCTTTGAGAGTCGTGAAGATGTACTGCGAATGTTCGACGATGGACAGCGGCATGACACTCCGCACAATAGATGGCCGATAGTACCGAATGATCCGGATACTGGGTTTCCAAGACGTCTCCAGAGAGCCGAGGTCGTAGGCATGAGCAGATGGACCGACGACGTGTATGCAGCAGAAGCGTGGCAGATATATGAATTCCACGCCCACGTTGTTCATCCGATGATGATCACTGCAATCCGCTGCGGGCTTAGCCACAAGTACCTCAGGGAGGTCGGCAGCACTCAGCGTAACATGAGTGATCCAAAGGCTCGAAAGTCTGAGACCCAGGATGAGATCATCGAGAAACTGGCATTCATCTCAAATTTCATCAGACGCTTGATCAAGAAGACCTTCGGAGCGAGCCGATATAGCTACTACCAGAAACCAGATGACGAAAGCGCCGCTCCATACAAATTCATCGACGTTAGTCCCGCCATCAAATCGGAGAGGAAGAATGTCACGAAGGAGATCCTCGTTGCATGCCGCTACTATGGCATAGAGGTATCCGCCATCCAAGCACAGAAATTGAAGTCCTTCGAGGAGCAGATCCGAGCGGGAAATCCAAGGAACGTTGAGCTCATCAAGGACTACATTGGCTTTGTCGGCGCTGACTACATGCGACAACTCACGAATGGATGAGCATTGGGGTCATGCCGACATGCCACTTCCGGTACTTCAAGTACTGAGGGATCTTGGGTAATTCATGATGACCGTTTTGGCATCATGGGAGTGAGATAGGATTGTGTTTCACACCGTTGGTAATCGCATGATACCATAGGTAGGTGCACGTTTTCCGCTTGTAGCTCCATTGCCTGTTTGATCCAACTTTCAAGCGAATGCAAGATCTTTTGCTAATTCAATTCAATAGGACATACTGGTTGACCTCCAATACACTTTTGAGAACACGATTCGTTCTCCGGTTTTTACATCCACTCATCTCCCTTCCCCGTCGAAGTACGGATGTGGGGGGGTGTCAATAGGGATGGGGTCCCAGTATAGTCGCTATACAGGTACATGCCATATACTTTTGGCTCAAGTGCCCAACCAGGTAAAAAGGAGCTTTAGCGCGCGAGCTTCATGTTAACCTAAGAGCTAGAACGGGGCCAGGGCACACCTTTCCATCCGTTCGCATAATGTAATGTCCTTCAAGCGACTCAACTTAGGAATGCCTCCTCCACCGTGCTGTCGCCGAGACAGGAGGGTGTGCAGAACTTGGAAACACTGCAGAAGATAGTCACCCAAACGCAAGCTGAAGCTTTGAGTGTTGGTCAGCACCTTGAAAGATGCGGTCTTTGCCACTGACAGACGCCAAAGACAAAACGCCTGGCTGAGCACCATGTAGAAACAGAAACAGACGAGTCTGCACAGAGCTCAAGGCTGATGCGTTCACGAAGGTTGCCCTGGAGGAGTCAAACCAGGCTGACTTGTCCTGTTTGGATTATATATGCATAGAATACTACATAGTAATTTTAACTCAGGGTTTCCTGGCTTTGATTAGAGTTTGTGGCCGCATCAAATTCTTGATTTGAATTCCTGTTTCTTAACCGTTTTTGAACATTTTTGTATATTGTTAGTGGCAGTGAACCAATTCTATCATCATTTAGCCGGTCTTGCCTTCATTCTTATTTGCAAGCGTTCACTTACAATACACTATCCAAAGTGAGTTCATGTTGTGTGTTCTTCTTGTATAGTTTGGTGTGGAACTAAACAACTAAAAAAAAGACACCAAAATCAACCGCGCACAAAAAAACAACTCTTCTGACATCCCCAAAAGTTAATGCAATTATGAACTCACTTTTCTGATTGCCAAACACATCACATTATGAATACATAAAATTTGAACTTATGCTCTCTTAAATAACATTACGTTACAAGCTAAAAGGCTTCATATATGTAAAATGTTTTTGTTTAATTTATATGTACAGTAGAGAAATCCAATATAAAATCATAAATTGAGTAGCTCTGACTCTATTGAAATAAAAAATGAGATTTTTGATTAGTATCAAATACATTTTGTTGTTTATTTTTTCTGAGTTCATAAAGCCGTACGCATTCATAAAAATAATTGTATTTTTGGTGTAATCAAATACTATTGTTTATATTTTTGTATGAGTTCAGGAAGTTATGAATATTTCTGAACTCAGAGAACTTCACAAAATTGATGAATCCGTAAAAAGAAGCATAATGAGTTCATAAATTTCATAATGAACCATTATTGCATCCCCTTCTAGACTAAAAGGCAATATATTTTGTAATTTTATGAACTCAGAAAATTCATAAGATTCAGCATTTTGTGAGTTCACTTTTTTCTGATTTATATGGTTTCGTAAAATAGAATATTTTAATTTCAAAACGTTATGAATCCAGAGGTTTCCTTGCTGTTGTCTAAAGATAGCTATTTTTTTTGAAGCATACACACGCTCACAGCGCTCCCCTCTCATATAATATATATGTTCACCATTATTCACCCCATTTTTGAATTCATTCGATGCATCATTGAAGCACATCCAGGATCGCAAGGTTGGGGGTTGGGAAGATCGTGTTTCTGTCCACAGTGGCCTTCAGGGATTCCAGTTTCTTCAACCCAGGTGAGACCTGCTTTTACTAAGGAATTTAGCCTACCAATATGTTACTAGTGGCTTCTTGTTACTAGTAGTAATGGCCTCCAACCTAGCAATGGCCACCTAAAGGCGTCCTAATAGGTGAGACAAGGATTGTACTTTTGAGGAGCTGCGACAGCGCCTGGCCGAGGAATGCGAAGAGCGCATTTCAGGACAGAGAAGGCTCTCGGAGTCGCTTGACCGAAGCCTCCCGGCTCCGCTGAGGTTTGGAAGTCAACCCCCGATCCCATCCTCTGATCTCTGAGTCCAATGGTAATCGTTTCATGAAACATCATCTTCTCCCACTGATCCCATTGTCTTCTGTAATATTCTGTAAATTGGCCAGTGCAAGGTAAGTCATGCCAAAATGGAAAAAAGAGCTATATACTGCTTCAAGTTCACACTCTGCTCGACTTTGGCTTACGCAGCAAAATGCAAAAAACACAAGCAGCTTCAGTTCTTAAAGATGGAGAGCACACTTTCTGCAGTACACAGTACACCATATATCCCGATCTACTGTCTTTTCTAGTGCGGTCTACTAAGCTGACACCAAGCAAAGTCAATCCCCCCTGACTCTTACGAGTCATGGTGACGCTATGATTCCATGATCGGGCGCGTCTGGAGTTAGTTGTGACTACATGGCCAAGGCTGGGTGTGCTGCCACCGGCAAACCTTTTAGCTTGTTTCCTGCATGTTCCCACTTCAATGTCCTTGTGACAGATGCATATGATTGACTTTGCAATCGTTGCACGACAATGTACACACACATATACAAAAATGTAATTGATCCACATATGATTCCTTGTTCCTTCTGCGAGGCTCTTGGCGAGAATGTGTTGCACGTCTGGAAGACACCCATCCTGGAGGCCAAGGAACCCATCTCTGTGAGCAGCTAGATGGCTGCTGTAGACCTCAGAGCTGAGCTGTAATGCCAGGCCTGTGCTCGGACCAGGACTCTACGAAGTAGCTTTGCTCGGGTTCCTCGGAAAGCATGTTCGGGTCATGTGCTTATGAGTCAGTTTGAGTCTACAGCAGGGGGATGTGATGTCATGCCACACATCCCCTTGTATCCTTGATTGGACCAAGTTGCAGGATGGCGCATCTCTGCTTTCCACAAGAAGTCAAGCACGTATTACCGTATTGCGTTTTGTTGGCCATGATAGGAAGGGGGGCCCTGAAGATTCGATGAAGGTTCATGAAAATTCATTTGCCGTTATGGATGTATCACATCTCTTGACCAAACCACCTCGCTCAGCACTGAAGGATATTCGTGAATGGTCGGCTTTCAGCCAAGGAATCTCGAAGAATAAATTATCGACATGTAAGGCGCAGAAGCATTCATGGATGCGACCTTGTGCTTGCAACCTCAGGGTCTGCGTATTTGATGATCGCAGATCCTGGTGAGCGGGGTTTCGGCGACTCAAACTGCTTGGCCTGATGGCCTAGTCACCGAAACCGTTTTCGAGTTTTTGTCACCGAAAACCAGGCTCCATTCTGCTTAGCTCTAGTAGCGATGCCCTTGTTACTACAGTAGCGTCTTGGATGGTCGTCCTGGAGCGAGATTTGTCGCCAGATCCTTCATCGCATCCCTCTCGGTGCCTTTGTGCCTGGCTCGACGAAGATACCGCCTGGCAATGAAGGCTTCACAGGCGGAGTGCGTGTTGGGGCAAGTTGAGGTAAAAGCCTATATTCTACACATGTATAATATACACATAATGAAATTTTTGTACTTACTTATGTATAGCATTGTATAGCCATCCTCAAAGAAGATCATCGCACTTTCAGTTGAGAGGCCATAGTGCCTCCTGCAAAGGTAAGAACATTCCTGTTGAAACTCCTTAGCGGTGAGTCTGGTAGACTCAGTGTCGAGTCTTGACCTGATCTAGCATCGAAGACGCTATCCCATCCCACCGAAGACGGGTCCAGACTTAGCACCGAAGAAGTCTTGGGCAGCACAGTGAGCACAGTGACAGCATCCGCAGCAGGTCACCACCTTGTCTTTGAGTGAGGTGGGAATGTCCATGCAACCCTGCATGTCACATGAGAGCCTTGCAATGATGAGCAAATTGTGATTGAGAAGTGACATGGCTCTACACGAACAATCATCCTATTGGACCATGAGTTGAGTTCATTGCTTTCGATCATTTTGATCTTCATTTTGTATCCAAGAGTTGAACACAGGGGCACATGTCATTCACAGGTGGATGAGAAGTGGTCACAGGTCGAAAGCATGGCAGAGGAGAGCAGTGTGAACAAGCATGGCATATCACTTGGATTTTCAGCCTTCTTCGTTGGATTGGCATTCCAAGGAATTGAGTTCGTTTTGGGGTCGAATTTCACTCCACTCAGCCCAGATATGGTGGAAGGAGGTGGCCGGCAGTTGTGCCCTCCTTTGTTGCGTGCAACGGCAGCTTGGTTTCTTGCCAGCACAGCGGGGCATCTCCGACGAGACATGTACTGGATGACAGACAGGGAGACTGTTGAAGTTGTGCTGCACTGTCCAGATGAAGATGCCACAAGGTACAGGTTCAGGGCCTCACTGTGGATACAAGAGCTGTCCACAAAGCAAGGTTTTTGATCCAACAGACTTGAAAGGCTACATGGCCGCCTTCCACGAGGGCAGTGTTGGCACTGCGCGAGTTGTAAGTCAGGCCTGACTTGCGAACTGCTTGACTGCAGAAGAATCCACGTCAGGTTTGACAAGTCAGACTCAATTGCCATCAAGCGTTAGGCTTAAGAGTCTGGCCGCAGCTTTGTCTCCGAGATCCAGCTTTGTCTCCGTTTTGTCATGTCAAAACAGCCGAACCCCGGAGACAAAGCTTCGTTTCAGCTTCGCACGGGAGGCACCAGCAGTTCCACTGGCGCTGAGTTGGGAAGGACCAGGTGGAGATGAGATCTATGGCATGAGCTTTGCAGCCTTCTCAGTGACTATAGAGTTGTTCACGGTGTTGGAAAGTTGGAGAGCCTGTTGTTTCCTCAAGGTTTGAGGTGAATTGGAGTATATTGGAGAGAATTGGTTTGAATTGCAAGAAGTGCCTGGTTGGAAGTCGTTCCATCTAGTGCCTGGAAAGTTGCTGCTGATTGGTAGCGTTTGCCACTGCCGAGGCCGGCACTGCCGACTGCACACTTCTGGAGCATTTGCTCCTAGCTCAAACTGGACTCGTAAGGGAAGGAGTAATTTGTATATTATCTATACTTTTTTTTCAGCTTTACGACTGTTCAATGAAGCATCACTTTAATGGTACACTCTCATACAGATTTACTGTATGTCCAACTCAAATCTAAGGCTCGATTGTGCTACTTGGCTGAAACTGGTCACAAGGGAGGAGTTGGTCAGTGGTCAGTTCTATATTCTTTGGACATCAACTTGTTAAACGTCGTATATGCAACAAGACAGAGCGAGAACAATGCAACTTCCAATTCTCACCCAAGCATCAATAAACCAAGTGCTGAAAAGTGGCTGAGAAGCGTGGGTCTCAGCACCGCGTCAGCACCCGAGGTGACGCGAGCCTCCACCGATCATCGCTTCGTAGCTCCAGCTCCTGAGGATGGGGAGCATGTCTCACTTTAGCTTCCCGTCTTCATGAATTCTTCGGGTTTTGGCAAGGTGCAGGAGAACAAGGCAGAGGAATGTCAAGCTAAGAACCATTGTGTCAGAATTTGTGGTAGCAAGACTGGTGTTGCTGAGTGTGTGTTGTTGTGTGGAGCCTGGAGGACGTCAAAGACATCAAGGCAAAGGCAGGGAAGACCACCGGACTCAGGTGAGCACTGATTATCACCATTCGTCTTATGAGTTGATTCCAGTTTCCAACACAGACAAGGACACACACACACACACATAGGCCACCACAGGCCACCACAGGCCACAGGAATACAAGGAAGAGCCTGTAGAACACTCCGAAGCCGCTTCCTGCCCTTGGGTCCCCAAGCAGTGCCTCCAAGTGACCAGATGATACGATGTGACGCAGAAAGACCCGTCCTCAGAGGTCTCGCTCTTGCGATCCTTCACGGATATCTCTGACAACCCGCTCGATTGGACGCCGGGAGAACATGGTGGCTTTGGCTTTGATCAGCATTCACAGGGGCTCCGGTGGTGCCTACACCTGCACAAAACAGTCTTATCATCAGCTGCTGATGATACATGATTCTTGCTGCTTCTTCGCTCTAAAGCCTTTGCCAGTATATAACACGGTCTTGAGGCATGCGGCATGGCTCAAAAGAACAGCTGTTGTTCACCTACAAAAGTGGAACAAAGTCACAAACTATGCGATCGATGCACACTTTAGATAAAGCATTCACATGCCGCATGCATCTGGAGAAGAGGCAATCGGTCCGACCGATCCTGCGTGTACATTCTCAGGTATATGGTACTCTGATGGGCAGAAAGCACAACTTGTTTACCTGCCCCAGGCAGGGGTCAGCAAGGCATTAAGGGTAATGGTCTGGCAATCACTTGTATAAGCAGCAATCACCAGATTCCAGTCATTTCTTCAGTTCCATAGCAACATCATGATACATCAAACAGATACATCAACATCAAACAACGTTTGCAATACTGTTTCTCCCTGATCCTGCACTATTCCTTGCACATTGTCGCCTGGTTCTTGGTGTTGCCAGTCAACTTTGAAGGGTGTTGAAGATTCTTCCACATTCCGAGAGGCCGTGGAACAGATCTGCCAGGATGAAGGTGATGCTGTGGTTCCTTGGCAGTGTCTGGTCTCCTCCGACGTTCGCTTCCCGGTCTCCGACAAGCTGTCGGGTCAGGCAGCGAAGATGCTTGCCATTATACAGCGGCGGGCTTCCCTGGAAGATGATGAGGCCTGAAGACAAAGGTTCGGTCGGCTCAAGCACTCCCTCAAACTGAACTTAAAGCAACTTGTCCAAGCTTATAAAGGCTTGTCATGCCACGTTGGAGCCTGGAGCCTTAAGCCCTCGACAAACCCTGCTACAGGAGGAAGAGGAGGTGGAAGGTCTGAACTTGCCGGATGGCCACGTGCTCTACAGATTTGAGACCACCTCAGGTGAGCTTGTCTGCAGGGAGAACGTGGAAATACTGTACGTGGAAGTACGTTATTAGACAAGTCTGTTGTTCAAGCCACAGACCTTTTGTTATCGCTTGTTTTCGCAACACCGCAACACAAGCTTTTGGCATCTTTTTGCCTGTTTATTCAACTCAGTATGGCTCAGTATGGCAGTGTTGATCATCTTGGCTCGATGCGTAGTGCTGTGTGATCCGCGTATTTCAGTACACAGGAAGGATGTATTGCACCAAACCTTTCACATGGTGTCTTGAGAATGTGCAAGTTTTGCAAGCTTGTTACTTCTACGTTCCGAGGCATGTACGACATTAACAGGTTGCCCTTGGTGCAGACGCGACGTATTTTGGATGATCATATTCGGCAATTGCTGCTGGTGAAGGCCAGGAGCTGCAATCAATTCAACCAGTAACGAGGATGGTAGAAATAGAATGAAATAGATGCCTAGGGAACCGCTTTAGACTGCCTACTTGACGCTGCTACACGCAAGCATGTCAAGCAGCTTCTGAAAAAAGCCAGGGCATTCACAGAGCTTGAAGGAAGACATGTAGAAGCTGGATACGCAAGCTTGAGTGAGACGACCACCTGCTTGAGTGACATGTCACGTGTCATGTGTTACGACGGGGCCAGGCAGCTGGCATCAAACAAGGGGAAGACAAAGGACGATCCGATTCAGCAGCACCGCGCTTTGCTATGCTGAATGGCACCAAGGAAAAACCATTGGTCCGGCACTCGGTGTGGTGTCGAAGCTTCGAAGCATGATGAGCCATAGTCAGTGAAGCTGCACAGTCGTAAAGAGGGCCGTGAGTTGAGTTGGACAGTACAAGAACTATAGCAATTAACTGAATATATTATAGAGTATAGTTATAGTATGTTATAGTAGTTATTATCAGTATTTATCAGCTCAATATATATATATATAGTACACGCTTGAAGAGCTGGGTCAACCTGAGGCGAGAGCTATGGTTGTTCCAACTGAAGGCAGGGGCTTGCGCTATTTCAGAGGGCACATGCACCTTTCTTATGATTTGTGCGCTCAAGCATAGTCTGAAGCCTTTGCCCCAGAGTCCCCAGAGATGGTACTTTTTATGTGCAAATGCAGGTTCGTACGGCAACTTTGAAGAGGTCTTTGACAAGGAACTGCGGCAAAATCCTCCACCAGGTTTGCAAAAGGCGCCGCCTTTCGTTTGGTTGATTTGGTTGCTTTTGTTCTTCCGGCTTACGAATCATGTTCAAAATTGCGCGTAGCTTGATCTGTCATGGATGACAAGCATGTGTGCATGCTGCCAGGTTCGAAGAATATTTGTTCTTTCCCCGGTGTGGGATTGCTCCGTCGCTGCAAGAAACAAAATTCAAACAGCTGTGGTTGGTTGGTGCTCCAGTTAAGGTGAAATTTTGGAACACAAAGAACGCATGACCTAGGACTTAGCCTACTCATTTTTTCAATGTCACTTGGAGCCTTAACCTCCTAGGTGAATTGAGCCTAGTATACGCATGGGCTGGGGGCGGTTTGCTGACAATTTCAGTCGTTTGAGGTTTCATCGACGGATGCGGCATACCAGAGCCGCGCTGCGCGTGGCACCTTGATTTAGGTAGAGACATATGTCACAATACGTCGCATAAGGACAAGACATTTGGAACAGTTCCTTTTTCTTAGGCCTATTGTCACTTGCTTCCAGTAGACAATGCAGCAGTGCCATGAATATTCCGCGTTTGTTTTTACCCTACACTGCTAGACAGTACATAATAAATACATCCACCTTGCCGTGGCACTGAATCCCGTAGTAGTGCCCGATCGCTCCTAGCAGTATGGCCAGGAGCCGCTAGTAGCTTGTTGTTCCTAGTAGTAAGTAGTAAGGCCAGGAGCCCCTAGTAGCTTCTTGTTCCTAGTGCTAA